CTTGGGTAGGTGCGGTGTTAGCCGAGTCAGTCGGTGGTGGATCCAGGACCTCCTCCCTCATGAGGACCTCCTCCTCGTATTCCTCGATGATCTCCTCGAACTCGCGATCGTCTGTGGTCACTATCTCCTCCAACTCGTTCCCTACATGCATGCGATGATGATGCAACCATTTAGCATTTAGGCAACGGCAACTCTTAAAATAAGAATACGCACACCAAGCTACTAAGCTAGCTCTAATGGCTAAGATACTAATCTAACTATCATCTTCATCAAGCAAAGCGTTGGGTTCAACTAACAAAACCTTAGCTTGGCAAATTAAGGATATATCTTTATTTCTACTAGTGATTTAATGTATATTGAAACAAAGAGCATTTAACTACCCTAATGCTTAGTCGATTCTAAGGGTATAAAAATTACAGTGAGCACCTAATAATATAATGAAGCTACCATAAAAATTTCAGGACTAAAACTATCACCAATTTACCACAAAAATTCCTACAATAATTAACTTAATATTATTAAGCATTCTCAAATGATTCAATAACTTCTAATATCAACACATATAAGTATGAACTAAATACACCAACAGATAGATCACAATTTTAGCAACCTAACAAAATTTGTTTCACAATTTTTGGACACCTACATGATTTTATTTTAATTACCAAAGATCAGCTCAGAAATTAAATTAGAAAACCATTTCTAATTCCTTAGAAAAAAGGAAAAGTGAATGTCCCGCGCGGCCCACATGCACGGCCCGCGTGACCCAGCGCGCCCGCACGCGCTGGCGTGGCGGCCCGCAGATTTTGCCCATGCGGAGACGGCCCGCACCGGGGAAATCCCGCGCATGCTGGAGCTTTTGCAAAATAGACCTCGCACTTCTCCCAAATTACAACTAAGTCCTAACGCTATTTTCCCCTCTGTCAAACCTTCTCACTTAACCCCCTGGCTTTCCTAGAATTCCCCCCGCGCGCACCCCCGATGACTCAGCGCATGGCGGCACGGTGGGCGGTGACACAGCGTGGTCGTGCCGGCCACCTAGGACCTACGCCGACCCTCCTAACAGGTCGGTCACCATCTCTGACTCGATCGGCTATGCTAAACAGTGGTGCGGGGTGACATGACTTGCTGGGGAAGGCTATAGTGGCGCGTGGCCATCTGCGACGATGGCGCCACTGTTTGGGCGAGCTGGGGCAGCTACAGACCTAATTTGTTAGCGCGCGAGCATCAGGAGGCTACCGTAGACCAGGACGAGGTGATGGTTGGAGTGGAGGATGATGGAGAAGGGCTGGCCACGTGCGGCAGAGCATTGCGGTAGCGCACCACGGCGGCACGGTCGCGTCAACGATGACACGAAGGCGGTAGAGGTTCGGCTATGGCGCACAGGGCGAGGAGGGGATGAAGGCGAATCTAGTGGTGCACATGAATTGGCTCAGTGTGAAGTGATCGAGGGCTGCCCTCGGCCATGGCCGAGCGCGGCCTTATCGGCACGGTGGCGGGGAAAGTTCCAAATTGGAGCTTGGCCATGCACGGTTCAAGGCTGGGTGGGGTCAGGCAGCGAGAGGACTTGATGATGAAGCCGTGGATGCGCTGAATTGAATGGAGGTGATCGCTCGATGCTTAATTTGATGGCGCAGCTTGACGGCGGCAGCAGAGAGAAAGACGGGGCGCGATAGGTGGGCTCAGCTCAGGCTCGCCTTGGCGGCACGCGATTGGCGTGATCATGGAGGCATGCGCGCAGACGCTATGGACAAGCAAGCGCATCCACGACTGACATGGCCCGCACAGCACAACGCCATAAATGGCAAGGCGACTTCGAGCTCGGCCACGTGCGCGTGGCAGTGGCAGCCTCGAACCGAGCCAGCAGCGGCGCAGAGGTGCAGAGAGAAGCACAGATGTGATGGTGAGGTGATGGCACCGGCAGCAGCTTGGTCGCGCGCGTGGGGCGGGTCGGCAGTGCGGCAGCACGGCGGGGCCGGCAGCAGTACTGCTTGGCTGCACAAGCAGCAGCGGTGGCTCCGCATGTCAGAGGCTAGTGGCGGCTAGGCTAAAGTAGCCGCGGCTAGCCACACGCGGCAACGCACCACGCGCTTGCGGATTTATCTGTTTGCGTTAACAAATACCATCAAACAACTTCTTGGCCATCACCGGCATTGTGGCAGCCACCGTATGCCTCACGCGTAGATCCAACCACCACCGAGCCGAGGGCGACAAACACAAGGACCAATGTGTGGGCGTGGGGATGCGCATGTGCGTGAGACGTGCCAGCGGCATGGGAGTGGGAGCTTCGCCAAGGCTAGCGATTAGCGGCTACATGTGCGGGGTGTGTGTGTGTGTGTGTGTGTGTGTGTGAGAGAGAGAGAGAGAGAGAGAGAGAGAGAGAGAGTAGGTGCCTGCGAACGAGAAGATGAGGAAGGAGATGACCTATGGGGCCCACGTGTTAGTGATGTGAATAGAGAGGTGGATAGATGGGTATTTTGGGTGATACAAAAATAGGTTGGCCTGCAGAAGGGTCTAAGAGAATCCACAGTGTACAACAAGGTATATATGAGTTACCAAGTACAGAGCGTCGCAAAAAAAAAGTTACCAAGTACAGAGAAAATTGTAATGGCACAAGAGAATCCACAGCGTACAACATGGTGTTTTTCGGATCCGTGAAAATTGTAAGGGTACCAATCCAAATAAACCTTTTATTCATAGAGAAGTCAGGCTTGTCTTATATGCTAGTAGTGAACATTGTACAAGCTCAAGATTAGTTCGAGCCATTTTTTGAGCCAATTTTTTGTCTCCTTTTATGTCAATGCCATGACCCATGAAAAGCATGAGTTATGCATTTTTAATATATAGTCATGATTAATAATTTGTTTGAAGATCAAAGCACCTAAATTTTTCTTTTTATCCATTGATAAGTTTGTTTATATCTCTTGCATTCATTTAATAAGGGAAAGAATGATCCATGTACGCAACAGTGTATTACTGTCTCTCCTAGAAGGTACCTTCGGCATTTTAAAACATATTATTGGATAAAACAAATGATGCATGTAACCCTCTCTTTACAGTAGTGAGATATTGTGCTTCCTGTATTTTGAGGTATATATCATGGTAGGTATGCACGTGATTGGTGCTTCAGGTTTCATTCACCTATAATACCTTAGGGCTCGACCCAGTTAGGCGGCCGGATCTTGGCAGACGCGGCCATGGGGGAGCTTGACCCTAGGTAGGCGGCCGAATCTCGGCAGATGCAACCATGGGGGAGCTCAACCCCAGCCAGATCGGATCACGGCGGGCCACGGCAGGGCCGCACCGGCCACGGAGAAGAAGGGCCGCGCCGGCATCAGGGAAGAAGCGACGCAGTGTGGGCGACCTGTGCGTCAATGTCACATGCGTCGGGGGGTGCCGGGGAAGAAGCTGTGCAACAGGGGCGTTGGGGGCGCCGTGGAAGAAGTGCCAAGGCGTCTCGAGGGCATCGGGGGACGAATGCCGCACAATACGAAGGGGCCTGGCTCGGTATTGGAGATGAGGAGGAGCAGATATAGCCAATAACGATGGGTATTGGGTTCAAATACCAATTCCTAATTCTTAGTCATCCAAATAGCGGAATTGACATCTATGCGATACCAATTCCAATTCTTGAGTCTCAATATCTACATCCAAACGGGGCATTATAATTGGGATGAATTTTGAATGATTCAATACGTTAAATTTTATGACCAAGGAATAATGTGTTCTTCTACTTCACTACTATTAGTTAGAATATTCTTTTGAAGCGCTTATTTTAATTATCATGAGACAAACACTAGAGAAAAAGAATTAAACCTTACACATAACAATCAAATGTTGTTAAAACACTACACTTGTTTTGAGCAACTTATAATGCACACGGAAGCATATTTTCCCTAAAATTTACTTTTCCAGATATATGTGGTTCAAATATATCAAGTGTGATATTGTTCTGATGTTCAGAAGGAAAAAGATAGTATGATCGGATTTTCATTTACGTGGTCCATTTAGAAACTACACGGCTCATTAAATTTACAAATTTGGTTGCATGTGGTCGACATCAGCAATTTTGCTTCTTTTTTTAGAGAATTAATCCATGTGCATCTATAAGTAACCCATTTAGCGTATCTGCATATGAGATAACACTATAGAATGGTTATTTAGAAAAATCATGAAGATTATGGCAAGATAAACTTGAGCATTAACAACATTGTCCAATGTATTTCTGGTCACCAATCAAATGTTTTTATTGCCCTCTACAACAGTTATTTCAACTACTAGAATAGCACAACGAATGTAGGTAGCTAGCTAGCTAGCTAGCTTGCTTTGCTGCTCTGGCGCCCTTAGGGCTTGTACAGCGCTGGGCTTTTATGGATGGTTATTGGCCGTTAAATAGTTTTTTTTTTTTTTTTTTGCCACGGTGGAGTCCAGAGCGGGCGCTTAAAAATAGATTCGCCGCTCCGTGAGGCGTCGACGCCTAGACCGTCTCCTCGCGTGATCCCTGGTGTTCGCATGCGACTTAACGGCCAGAACAGAAGCGCCTTCAAATACGTTTTGCGTGGTAGATTAAGGTCATAAAGAGACGCTTATAGTTGCAAAAGTATTTTCTCTTTCTATCTAAGCGCCTTTTGCATTGTACGTGCCCTTATATACCGAGGAACCTAATTTTAGTTTCCTAGGCTTGAGCTGAACCACACCTTCCTCTGGAGAGACGGGCGCCAAAACAAATAAAGAAGCCACTGCCATCCCCGAAAAATGCTCTTGTGCGCCTGTCTTCAACGGTAGCTAGCCCCTGGGTCAACCATCCCTTGGCCCCTTATTCCCCGAAACAAACATCCTCTTGGAGGAGGAGATTACAGAGGCATGCACACCTCTGTTCTTCTCCCTCCTCTCGTCTTCCTCCCGAATTCATTTGCTCAACACCGCATGGCCTAACCAAACCCTTCTCTACACCTCTGCACCGGCGAATTAAACTGTCCTGACTGGTCCGTGATGCGAACATGGCAGCCTGCCGCCGCGACGCATTTCTCGCTGTCATCATTGCGATCAATGCAGTCATTTTGGCTTCCGCGGCGAAGTACAAGCCACCGGAGTCCATATTGGTGGATTGCGGTTCAGCAAAGGAGGGCCAGGACGCTGATGGGAGGAAATGGGTGACTGACCAAGGCAGCAACTGGCTCATTGATGGCGGGAAGTCATCCATCATGGCCGATGCGGATGTCCAGGATCCATCGCTTCCCTCACCTGTCCCGTACATGTCAGCACGGGTGTTCACCAAGGAAGCCGTGTATAACTTTTCCATTGGCGACAAGGATAGGCACTGGCTGCGCCTCCACTTCTACCCAGCGGCCTACCATGGCGTCCCGGCAGAACAATTCTTCTTCTCAGTCTCTACGTCCACCGGAATCACGCTGCTCCGCAACTTCAGCGTGTACATCACTGCCAAGGCACTTAGCCAGGCATACATCATCAGGGAGTTCACACTGCCACCGATGACCGATGGCACGCTGTCGCTCACATTCACAGCAACCGCGATGAACAACGCATCATATGCCTTCGTCAATGGCATCGAGATCATCTCCATGCCCGACATCTTTGCTGACCCGGCCACGATGGTTGGCTTGAGTGACCAGACCGTGGACACCGCCGCTAGCAGCTTACAGACGATGTACAGGTTGAATGTCGGTGGTTCTTACATTGCACCGACAAACGACTCTGGGCTATCACGAGATTGGTATGATGACACGCCATACCTCTATGGAGCTGCTGTTGGTGTGACATATAAAGCTGATGACAAGGTCCAGATAAAGTTCTCGAGCCCTGAGGCAGAGTATGCAGCACCGACGAGCCTCTACCTCAGCAGCAGGTCAATGGGCCCTAATCCAAAGGTGAATCAGAACTACAATCTGACATGGGTGTTTGAGGTGGACAGTAACTTCACATACATCGTTCGGCTCCACTTTTGTGAGTTGTTGCTTACCAAGGTGAATCAACGGGCGTTTGACATCTACATCAACAACAAGACAGCACAGGCAGATGCCGATGTCATCGGGTGGACATCAGAGAAGGATGTGCCCGTGTACAAGGACTACGCGACGTTCATGCCTGACAGTCCAGGTGATAAGATCCTATGGATCGCGCTACACCCTTCCGTGTCAATGAAGCCAGAGTTCTACGATGCTGTCCTGAATGGTCTCGAGATATTCAAGATGAGTGATAGCTCTGGCAACCTTGCTGGTCCAAATCCTGACCCATCCAGAATGCTGGAGGAAGCAGAGATGGATGTGACAACGGGGAAATTCAAAGCCAAGCCAAGCAACCTCAGGGCCATAGTGATTGGCGGTGCAGCTGGCGGTGCAGCGGCCTTTGGGATAGTAGCAGCCATATGTGTTGTGGCTTATCATTCAAAGAAGAGGCGGGTGCTAGGTAACAGCGTGTCACATTCCTCAGGATGGCTGCCAGTGTATGGTGGCAACTCACATACAAACGCCAGCAAGTCGTCTGGCGGCAAGAGCGCGGCACTCAACCCAAACATCACCGCCATGTGTCGGCACTTCTCGTTCCAGGAGATTAAGGCAGCAACGAAGAACTTTGATGAGTCACTAGTGATTGGTGTGGGCGGGTTTGGCAAGGTGTACAGGGGCATCGTTGATGGTGACACGAAGGTGGCGATCAAGCGGAGCAATCCATCATCTGAGCAGGGTGTTTTGGAATTCCAAACTGAGATTGAGATGCTCTCCAAGCTTCGACACAAGCACCTTGTGTCGCTTATCGGCTGCTGCGAGGATGACGGCGAGATGATCCTTGTGTACGACTACATGGCACATGGCACGCTACGGGAGCACCTGTACAAGAGTGGAAAGCCAGCACTATCGTGGCGGCAACGCCTTGAGATCACCATCGGAGCCGCACGAGGCCTGCACTACCTCCACACTGGCGCGAAGTACACCATCATCCACCGTGACGTCAAGACGACCAACATTCTGGTCGATGAGAACTGGGTGGCCAAGGTTTCCGACTTTGGTTTATCCAAGACTGGCCCGACGGCCATGAACCAAACGCACGTTAGCACCATGGTGAAGGGCAGCTTTGGATATCTCGACCCAGAGTACTTCAGGCGGCAACAACTCACAGAGAAGTCTGACGTCTACTCGTACGGTGTGGTGCTCTTTGAGGTGCTCTGCGCACGGCCTGCACTGAACCCGAGCCTACCAAGGGAGCAGGTTAGCCTTGCTGACCATGCCTTGAGCTGCCAAAGGAAGGGAACACTACAAGATATAATCGATCCGCTACTGAAGGGCAAGATAGCACCAGACTGCCTGAAGAAGTATGCCGAGACGGCAGAGAAGTGCCTGGCTGACCATGGAGTAGACCGACCTTCGATGGGCGACGTGCTATGGAATCTTGAATTTGCATTGCAGATGCAGGACACCTTTGAGAATGGTGGGAAGCCAGATCAGGGCGGAGGAAGCATGAGCAACGGTAGTACTGTGTCTATGGCGGACAGCATGGCTGCCTCAGCTGCAGCGCTCGAGCTAATCAGCGAGGACATGGACGAGGAGGACATTGCCAACAGTGTGGTGTTCTCGCAGCTCGTTCACCCAACTGGCCGGTAAGGTGTATATGGGACGTGGATGCTGAAATTTATCGTGCATGCGTTTGTTGTCCATTGGGAATTGGGATTCAACTCTTCTTGTCAATATGTACTCAGATCATATTGTGCGTATGTGTGTATCATTGTTGGTTGATTCTTTAATTTGGTCCCTTTTGCTGTAATTTGGTCCCAATTTGGCATTAGCCTCAGCATTTTTTGCCGTCGGGACTAAAGGACCCTTTAGTCCCGGTTCGTAATATCAACCGGGACTAAAGGTCACTGCCCAACGGTCGTCCGCGTGGCAGGGATCTTTAGTCCCGGTTGGTAGGTTTTAGTCCTGGTTTGGGTGATACCCCGGGAATAAATATTAATCTTTAGTCCCGGTTTGGCCACCTAACCGGGACTAATTATGCGGGCCTATACAACGGCTCATTTCTTCCTCCCCGAGCCTGAGCCATTCCATTCAAACTCACTGCCTCTGTTCTTCAGCTTGCTGTTGTTCTTGCTCTCTCCCCCTCCATTGGTGTTGCTCTTCGATTTTGGAGGTAACAAACTTAATCCTCTTATATTTTATCAGTAGCTTATCTCATTTTGCGATGTAGATGCATGTGTAACTTTATATGTTGGACTTTATTATGATTTTATATGTCATTTTTAGCTCAAAATCACATGATGATTTGCATATATGTTTGCATAAACAAAAGTTAAATTAGTTCATCAAAATCACGCCTCGCTCGTCCTCGCTGGAGCACGCGCCATCCTCGTCCCCGGTGGCTTACGTGATCTTAGAATTGATTTTTCCATGAAATGAAAAACTTAGAAAATAGTTAGAAAATTGTAGAAAATCCGTACTAGTTGAACTTACGGACCGTGATCATCTCGGCGAGTATTTTCTCTGCTGAGCGGTAACGGACGTCAAGGAGGAGCTTTGATTCTACGAGGGAGAGCGGCAACGGTCGTGGAAGACCGTGTTCCCTTCCTCGTAGAATCGGAGCTCTTCCTTGGCCAAGTACGGTACCGTCCGGTGGAGAAATGCTCGCCGAGATGATCACGTAAGCAAGGTCAACTAGTACGGATGGTTATTTATTGAAACATGTTTTTGAGCTATGTGATTTCTATGTCATTTTTATCTCAAAATCACATGATGATTTGCATATATGTTTGGATAAACAAAAGTTAAATTAGTTTATCAAAATCACGCCTCGCTCGTCCTCGCTGGAGCACGCGCCATCCTCGTCCCCGGCGGCTTACGTGATCTTAGAATTAATTTTTCCATGAAATGAAAAACTTAGAAAATAGTTAGAAAATTGTAGAAAATCCGTACTAGTTGAACTTGCGGACCGTGATCATCTCGACGAGCATTTTCTCTGTCGAGCGGTAACGGACGTCAAGGAGGAGCTTTGATTCTATGAGGGAGAGCGACAACGGTCGTGGAAGACCGTGTTCCCTTCCTCGTAGAATTGGAGCTCTTCCTTAGCCAAGTACGGTGCCGTCCGGTGGAGAAATGCTCGCCGAGATGATCACGTAAGCAATGTCAACTAGTACGGATGGTTATTTATTGAAACATGTTTTTGAGCTATGTGATTTCTATGTCATTTTTAGCTCAAAATCACATGATGATTTACAATAGTAAAATCACTTGATAGTTTGGTATTTTACTATTATACATAGTACATATTTCATGGTTTAGTTAGATAAATAAATAATTTTAGTTTTGTTTAAATATATTATTTTAGAAAATTTGAAATTTATAGTAGTTTGCAAAAATAAGTATAGAAAGTAGATGACAACTGGTACCGGATCCTCGACCTCTCGTTCAGTTGCGAAACGACTGAGGCCAGAACTCCCTCTCATTATCTGCGGCAAGTGTAAGCAGAAGATTGTGATGGAGTACCGAGTCAAGAGACAGGGACCCAACAAGGGTCGTGTTTTCTACAAGTGCCCAGATCGCGATGTGAGTTTCTTACGCATTTGATTATTATGGCTAATTGACTGCTTTTCTTGAATATTTTTGACTAAATATTTTTGGCTTTAATTTCAAAGTGGGAGGGCAATGGATGCGATGGTTAATCTTGGGAGGAAGATTATGCTACATACGTGCGAGATTTCGGTGCTGGCGATGAGGCAAAGTGAGCAAACAGGAGAAGCTTATTGATATTCAACGGAAGAATGATTTGTCTATTTTAGTTTGCGTCACGATCACGAAATAATTATGTTCTTGAAGTGCATTGTAGTTTTAGTTTGTTTAGTGATAGTTGGGATTGCTTACGTTGTAGCCGAGCTTAGTTAATTAATCAACCGTGTGTGTGTCATCTATGTTGTGTAATAAAATACTTAATTATGTTCAAGGTTTTCATAATTTGTCGGTAATACTGATTATGTCACGCCATTGGATGTACAATGCCGATCGCCGCTCCCAAGACTTTATTGAGGGCTTGCACTATTTCTTAGGTGTGGCCGAGGCAAATAAGCGGGATGGTTTCATGTCTTTGTCCATGTGTCCTATGTAAGAATTTAAAGGAATATTCAAGCTCAATGAGTCTTCATTCACATTTGCTTAAGTCGGGTTTCATGTCAAACTATATATGTTGGACTAAGCATGGAGAAAGCGGGGTCATGATGGTAGAACGTGAAGGAGAAGATTTAGACATTGATGATATTATTGCTCAGTATGGTGCCTTTGATGATACTACAATGGGGGGGAGATGAAGAAGAGGTAGCGGTAGAAGATGATCTCGGTGATGCTCTTGGCGATGCCATTCGTGATGCACAACAAGAATGGGAAAGTGAAAAAGAGAAAGTTAAGTTCGAGCGCATGCTTGAGGATCATAGGAAGTTGCTATACCCAACGGCCGAAGAGGGGCAAAAAAAGCTAGGTACAACACTGGAATTGCTATAGTGGAAGGCAAAGAATGGTGTATCCGACAAGGCATTTGGGAATTTATTGAACCTCATAAAGAAGATGCTTCCGAAGCCAAATGAATTGCCCACCACTACGTACGAAGCAAAAAAGGTTGTCTGCCCTTTGGGATTAAAAATCCAGAAGATACATGCATGTCCTAATGACTGCATCCTCTACCATGGCAATGAATACGAGAATTTGGATGAATGCCCGGTATGTAAAGCATCGCGGTATAAGATCAGGCGCGATGATCCTGGTAACATCGAGGGTGAACAACGTCCTAGAAAGAAAATCCCTGCCAAGGTTATGTGGTATGCTCCTATAATACCACGCTTAAAACGTTTGTTCAGAAATAAAGACCATACAAAGTTGTTGCGGTGGTATAAAGAAGACTGTAAGGTAGACAATATGATGAGACACCCAGCTGATGGGTCCCAGTGGAGAGTGATAGACAGGGAATTTCCAGAGTTTGCAAATGAGGCTAGAAACTTAAGGTTCGCCTTAAGTACAGATGGTATGAATCCGTTTGGAGAGCAGAGCACTAGTCATAGCACTTGGCCAGTTACTCTATGTATCTACAACCTTCCTCCATAGTTATGCATGAAGCGGAAGTTCATTATGATGCCGATCCTCATCCAAGGTCCGAGGCAACCTGGCAACGATATTGATGTCTATCTGAAGTCATTAGTTGAAGAACTTCTAGTTTTATGGAACAAATCAGGTGTACATGTCTGGGATGAGTACAAACAAGAACACTTTGACCTACAAGCAATGTTGTTCATAACAATCAATGATTGGCCTGCTTTAAGTAATCTTTCAGGTCAGACAAACAAAGGATATAATGCATGCACACATTATTTTGATGACCTTGACAGTATATATTTGAAAAGATGTCGAAAGGTCGTGTACCTTGGCTATCGTCGATTCCTTCCTTTGAATCACCAAGTAAGAAAGAAAGGGAAGCATTTTAAAGGTAAGCCAGACCACCGGAAGAAGCCTCATAACCGAACCGGGGAAGATGTACTCGCAATGGTCAAGGATGTGAAAGTAGTATTTGGAAAGGGACAAGGCAGTGAATCTGTTTCCAAAGATGCTAAGGGACACGCACCCATGTGGAAGAAGAAGTCCATCTTTTGGGAGGTACCCTATTGGCAAGTCCTAGAGGTCCGCAACGCAATCGACGTGATGCACCTGACAAAGAATCTTTGTGTGAACCTGTTAGAATTCATGGGTGTGTACGGGAAGCCAAAGGATTTACTTGAAGCACGCCAGGACTTGCAGGGCATAAAAGAACGAGACAACCTTCATCCAGAGAAGACAGATGATGGACATCATTACTTAAGTCCTGCTAGCTACACGCTTAGCAAAGAAGAGATGGACAGCATGTTCGAATGTCTAAGCAGCATCAAGGTCCCATCGGGATTCTCCTCCAATATAAAGGGTATAATAAATGTGCCAGATAAGAAATTCCTAAACTTAAAGTCCCACGACTGCCACGTGCTTATGACGCAATTGCTTCTAGTTGCTTTAAGAGGAATTCTACCTCCACATGTACGTCTAGCCACCGTGAAGCTATGTGCATTCCTCAATGCAATTTCTCAGAAGGCAATCAATCCAGTGGAACTAGCTACTCTACAAAATGATGTGGTTCAATGTCTTGTCAGCTTTGAGTTGGTGTTCCCTCCATCCTTCTTTAATATCATGACACACCTCCTAGTTCATTTGGTGAAGGAGATTAGTATTCTTGGACCTGTGTTCTTACATAACATGTTCCCCTTCGAGAGGTTTATGGGAGTCTTGAAGAAATATGTGAAAGTCCGTTCTAAGCCTAAAGGAAGCATCGCCTAGGGCTATGGAACAGAGGAGGTCATTGAGTTCTGTGTTGACTTTATTCCTGACCTTGCCCCGATTGGCGTTCCAGAATCACGACACGAGGGGAGACTTAGTGGTAAAGGAACTTTAGGGAAGAAAAAATATATCGGCATGGAAGACGATTATTTCAATAAAGCACACTACACAGTTCTTCAGAACTCGTCATTGGTGCATCCGTACATTGAGATATATAAGGAGTTCTTACGATCCAAGTTTCCAGGGAAGACTGAAGCTTGGATTAGGCGTCA